CATTGTTTGGTGACCCCCATGAAATGGTCGTTCGACCCCAAATGGGTTCCTGACCCACAGGTTGAGAACCACTGTTCTAAGTGGTGCCGCCACACCTCAAACGCCAGCAACTCCTTATCTCAGATCATGTAGTTTCACTCAGGGTTGAGCTTGCACAAGTAGTAAGTGCAAGGGAAGAGTTCTTCGAGTTCAAGAGCCTGTAGCAACACCATCCCCACCGTGACGTCCAATGCGTCCGTCTCTACCATGAACAGTCGGGTCAGGATGGTGAAGAATGGTGTCTGTAGAAAAAACCTTCAGAAACTTGAAGGCATACGGTTCGACCAACCCCTATGTGAACCGCACCCCTTACCACAGCAACCGAGTCAAGAGAATGGTCATTTCAGCGAACCAGGAAATAAAGATCTGATAATAATTCGCAAAATCGTCATGGAGGCTGCCAAGACTGCAGGACCTTGATCTTTTCTGGGTCCATAGCGATGCCCTCAGGTGAAATCTGGTGGCTCAAAAAGACAATGGTGGTTTGTGCGAACTGGCGCTTCTCATGCTTCGCAAAGAGATGGTTCTCTCACAAGCACTGGAGTACCGTTTGCACATGGGACCAGTGTTCTTTGGCCAATGAGTATATCAGGATGTCATCTAAGTAGATCACCACAAATGTGTCCAAGAGATCCCGAAACATGTCATGCATGAAATGCATGAACACAGCGGGAGCCTTGGTGAGTCCAAATGGCATTACCATGTATTCAAAATGTCCATATTGGGCGCGGAAAGCCATCTTCCACTCATCCCCTTTGCAGATTCTCACCAAATTGTAAGTCTCCCGCAAATCCAACATCATGAAGATCTGTGCATGCCTTAACCGCTCCATGAGTTCCGGAATGGGTACCGGTTCATCACATAATGGCGTTGAGCTTACGGTAATGGCATAATGGGGTTAAGCTTATGGTAATCACAACACAGTCTCAGTTCCTCCAACTTTTTCTCAACAAAGAGGATTGAGTCCACTAAAGGGGATGTCGATGGACAGATGAAGCCCTTCTTCAACTTCTTTTTGATAAAGTCCTTGAGGGCCTCGAGTTCAGGCTCGGCATTGAGTACAGCCGACCCACTGGAAGCTTGGCATTCAGAACCAGATCAATGGGATAATCATAGGGCCGATGCAGTGGGAGCTGCTCGGCCTCTTTCTTCCCAACCACATCGGCAAAAGCTGCAATCCAAGGGAAAATCCAAAGATAAAGTGAGGAATTTCTCTGTCGTACATACATGAAGCCAATGAGAATGACACTGAGGATTATTCAGCTGGATGACCCCATCCAGCCATATGATCTGCAGGTCGTGTGCTTGGAGCCATTTGAGTCCCAACTCTATTGGAAAATTTGGAGCAGCCGCCACATATAATTTCAATTGCTCCATATGGTTTGCCATCTGCAGAGGCTCAGTAGATGTGGCTATAGGACCTGACCAAAGTGGCTGGCTGTCAATGGTTTCCATCAAAATAGGTAGGATTAACTCATGCTGCAGCAGCTTCCACTTCATGGCAAAAGCGGTGTCATGAAGTTCGCGGTCGCCCCTGAGTCCACCATGGTGTGCGTGAGAACTTCCTCACTTCTGGTCAGAGTCAATATCACAGCCACTACCAAGTGTTGGGTCAGTATAATCCTCGGCACTAACACCTGGCCTGCTCTGGTGAGCCATTTATGTCGGGTGGGGGGAAGTTTCCCACCGTTGCCAGAGTTTTCTTTGCAGAAGATGTAGCAGCTAAGTGACCAGGGCCTCTGTAGTACAGGCACAAGCCTTCTCTGTGCCTCAGATACTTTTCTGCCTCTGTGAGGCATGTCTAGGCCTCTCCCACTTGCATGGGTTCCTCGGTGGGTTGAGGGTCCTCACGAAACTTTCCGGGTTTGGGGGCAACTGCCCCGTGTCACCGTGTGTCGCCCCTCATTGACCATCTATGCACAAGCACAGGTGCATTAAGGCTTTCAGGGTGCCAGGGCAGTCTCGGAGGACAAGACCTCCTGGAATTGGTCTATTAGGGCCTCTTCGTTCAATCTCAAATTTTGACTGATAAGCTGGAAGTCAGAGATGTATTTGCTTACCGGGCGATGCCCCTGTTTCAATTCCCACAGCTGCCAGTTAGCTGTTTGCACTTTGACAGGATTTTTGAACATGGCCTTCATTTAGAGGCAAAAATCTAGCGCAGTCATCCAACAAGAGACTCGGCTGCGTGAGAAGTGGGGTCACCCACCGGGCTGCTGGTCCCGTCAAGAGACTAATGATGAACCCCAACTTTCTCCCAGTCAGTTTGAAAATCATCTGGTTTCAGGCTCATGAACAACTGACATTGTCCAAAAAAGCTGGGATTTGGGCAGAGTTCCCATCAAATTTATCTGGGATAGCAACTGGGCACTTAGAGCGGGGTCTTGAAGGTCCGGATGGCTGCAGTTATGCCAACTCATTGGAAAGGAGAGTTACTTGCTGGACCAGCTGGGTGTTGTCAGCTCGTAGTTGCTCCATAACATCCAACAAACAGGGCTTTCCTCCTGGGGAAAATGGGATTGGGGAGAAATTGTGCTGATCCACTCATTCACATACGCACAAAGTGTGGTTTTGGAGAGTTTATTACTGTTCCCCAGCAATTCCTTTCACCCAGCTTCAGAACTGTGCCAAATAAATCCAGGCCAAGATTAATCCACCAAGCAATAACCAATAGTCCATAAAACAAATGGAAAGTATCCATTTGTATCCAAAGGTTAGAATTTCAAAGGCACAAAGTCAAGTTGGAAGCACAAGAAATACATAACCATGAGCCAAACACGTTTCCAGCAACGTCTCTCTCTGCTTTCCAATGCAACTCATCCGATGGGTGGGATTCAAGTAATCTGGCAGATCTCCACTGCTCCTGTCTTTTTGTTCCCCTGCGTTCTCTCAGATCTACCACAGAAGGCAGCTCCTCCTCCTCCTCTTCACTGACCATTTGCCCCTGCAAACTGTCTTCAGCCAAAGCTTCCTGTAAATCTCTTTTGGCTGGCCATTCTAAGTCATTAATTAACCCAGTCCCTGACGTGCCAGGAATGAGCTCATCCTCCAAGCTGGCCTCCAAAGAAGAGTCAGAGGAGTTGTCCAAGGCAGACATCACACCTTGTTGTATGGGCTGCACTAATTCCCAAGTGCAATTCAAGTCATTGGTTATCATCTTGGAAACCCTACTTTACCTACAGGACTACCTTTCCCCAAAGGCATCTGCCTGTCCCACCAAAGCAGATAGTGTGGGCATGCTCCAGATCCCTTCCCATAACATTGCTGTCATGTGGTCGTTGGAAGTGTCACTTCTCCATTGTAGTCCTGCTGCATAGAACATCTTCCCCTCAGAGATCGGACAAGCCCTACCCTTTTAACCTTCACAAGAACATTAGATATGATTCTTCCCCCAAGTATCAGGATAGGGTGAGATTCGAAAAAGATAAGAATATAATGATATTCTCATCTGATAATGAATATAATGATAATATAATTGCACATGGGAAATATAGTTATGGCATCAGCTTTTTCTGGTTTGGGTTGTATTGTTTCTTTTGTTTTTTTATTGCAGTATATATTTTTTACTTTTCAGTTGTAAGCTGCCCAACATTTCCTTTAAGATGGGCAACTACATAAAAATGTTTTAAATATATACTCTCAAATGTGGATATGCCATCAGTTTAATCACATTCACTTTTTGTTTTCTGTCATGGAGTTCCTAAGTCAGCTAAAAAACTGCTCAAATTCTGCAGCAGATCAGGCCTGTACATTCATCTATCACCAAATCTAACCATTATATATGACCTAGCATTAGCAACAATATTTATAGCCAAAGAATTCAGCAATCTAGCCACCTTAATTCAGGAAATAACCAGATTGGCCAGAACAGGAAAATAGTACTGATTTTCGATTCTCCTTTTCCTTTAATGGTCTGCCCAATGCCTCCCACTGCAATTTCTTCAGTTTGCAGTTCTGGCTATATGCTCCTCAACATCCCAACTGCATTGGGTGTCTGTACCCCATTTCCCCAATTGATCAGCTATTGACTAGCTATTCACACTATATATTCCAGTGGGACAACAATTCATTCACCCATTCAGATTTCTCCCATTAGGGCCCTACTTGAATGGGGTCTTTTCCTGTATTTTCACTGTGGTTGAACAGTATTTCTCAGTTCCTGCCTTTCCTCATAGCTCTTCCCTTTCAATCATGCAATGATGTGTTTATCATAATTTTTTCTATTTGATTTCAAGTGCCAGCCATACTACCTTGAGACTGCAGTGTGATTGATCTGGCTGGGAGTATTTCTCACATGCCACTCAGCTTCTGACTGGCCTCATGGATTTTTAAGTACTCTCTTCTTATAGAAATTAAGAGATATGACATTGACAAAAATATTCAAGCATCTTTACCTAGGCAAAGGAGGTTGAAGCATTCTTTAAGCCCTGGGAAACAAGACAATATTCACAAATATCTATGTAAGGCAAAAATCTCCCTAATTCATAGAACCATAAGAAGGAGAAGGAAGTGCAGCACAATCAAAAGTTCAAGTTTCTATTATTATAGCCTATCTCAATTAGGTATTGTTTTGGTCTTTTGTGGAATTGTTTTTCTGATCAGCTTCATGTGATTTTTCGCTTGGTATCTCCTGAGGCTGGCATTCGACAGGTTCATCTAAAGCAGCCATTTCAGAATCATCTTCAGAATCTGAGTCCTGGATCTGGGCAATGGCAGTTTTTATATTTTAGGGTCATACTAGCCTTTTGAATTTGTTCATTTGTCTCAAAATAAAGTATGTTGTTCTTGGAGTAAAACAGTACAACTCTTTGTCCAAGTATGATCTGTCAAGAAGTGGCAAAATAAGGTTATTGTTGGGTGCAGGTGAGTTCTGGAGTATACATGTTGTGCATGGCGGTGAATATTGTATCTAAATATTGATGCTAAAATGTAATTTCACTTTTAAAATATTTTATTTTTAGAGTATTAATCCACCTCTCCCACCACCACCACCACCTGTCTTATCTGCTACAATAATTGCCCCTAATTCTATGTGCCTGCCTTTGGGGTCAGTTCAGAAGTCAACATCTGCATTGACCGAGCAAATATCACATTTGAGACCACAGACAAGACCAAGTGTGTAAGTGAAACTAAAACTCATTAGCAATTAATGGAAAAGATGATTAAAAATGCCAAAATAATGAGTTGAAGAGTTTTTTATAAAAATCTTAAAATTGTTTGACTTCTCATTTGGTGTCTTTAATTAGGAAAAAGCCACTTATTTGTTTTTGGTATGTTGCAATTTTTATTACATTCTCAGACTTATTACTGATAGCATTTATGTTTCCTTCACTTTAAATTGGTGATTTCATGAATATTTCGGTATAATTTTCTTAATAAAAATATGGGAGTGGTTTCCCATTATTTTTTTCCCAATTCCTAGACATATTTTGTTGTGGCCTCTTTCTAAGCGTTAATCAGCTCCAACCATGTTTAGCTTTTTAGGATTGGCTTTTTAAATTCAGGCAAGGTCACTTAAGTGCTATCTAATCAGTCAACAGTTTCCCATAGTTTTGTAAATTGTATTCTATAAAAAGAGAAGAGTTAAAGAAATCTATCTACTATTGTGAAATAGTATTATAAGCAACAGCAGTTTGCTGGTTAGGGTTAGAAATAATGCTAAACATTTTGGCATATTTTTAGTAAACTTATATAAAATTTCAATGAAGTACAGATTTTTTTATTGTAATAAATTTTGGCTTGGTTAACAAACTCAAAATTTGCAAATTATTCTACATGCATTCTTGCCCATGCATTAATAAATAGTTTTGTTTAAGATCATTCATACATAAATGCCTCTCTTTAAAAACAAACCCCAAAAAGTACTTTGATGGGTCCTGAAATAAAGGCAGCACTTCTTTTTGCTTGCAACTTAGTTAACCAGCAGGAAGTAGCTGCTCAAGCAAGTTTTTGAGATATGTAATTACGAAAAGGTATAACAGTTGTTACTGTCACTAGTGTCAACACTGCTAATATTGAATATTCTTGCTTTGACAAAATATTCAGAACTGTCTGGTACTTTTAGAGTTAATTCAGATGAGTGAGAGAGGAGAGAAAAGCCCGCGAAAGGGAACGGAAGAGAACCTTTGTCCTTCAAACTAATTGGAGAACGTAATTCATGACAGCAAAATAAGGGAGGGGAAATGCTAGCAAAAATAAGTGCTCGGGGGGGGTGTGGAGATTTCAGATCGTCGCATCCTTCATCATGCCGTGCTGACATTTTGTCACATGAATAAAAATACTTTTTAGGATAAAATGCCTGGAAGTTCTTTGAAGTGTTTTATTAGTCGGAACCTTGACGTCATGCTAAGATCTCAAATCCTTTTCAACCAACCTGGGGTCCTGAACTCCATTCGCTGTCTCTAGGCTTGAGAGGAGCTGGTAAAGATTCAGGGAAGAAAAATCTATCATGAAAAAAGTGAGTTTGCTTCAAGACCCAGAGGAGGAAACAACAGACAGCATACTGTGGGAAGATGAATTCTGGCAGATCTCCCAGCTGGCAGCAAAGACTTCAAAAGCAGAAAAGTATAGAGCTAACGAATGGCCTGCTACTCGAGCTTTGAGTGAGTCACTGGAAAGATTTCAAACCCCAGATGTGAAAAGCAGAAATCGATTCCTGCAGAGAGAAGCCTACAGCCCCTTCCTCGTAGATCAGACCCTGGTTCCCCCGGCCAGGAACTGCAGTCCTGAAGACAGAGGGAATCCCAGACTGAGGCCTCTGCAGCAATGGGCATATTGCCCCCCCCCCACAGGTAGATGATCAGCAGCAGCTGAGCATACCACACTTAATAGAGGCCTTGCAACAGCTTGGGATGGTGCAGAAGCTAGGAGATCAGCAGCTGGTGGGAGACTGACCACAGCAGGGAGATTGGCTACAGCCCCCGAACATGCAACCCCTGGGCAAAAATCTGCAGCCAGGGTGGGGCCAGCAGCATCAGCCTATGATTGCACCACTTTTCAGAGCAACCTTTGATGGGAACCCAGAGAAGCTGTTTTTTTCCTCAACCAAATGCGCTCTCATTTGAATTGCTGGGCCTATCTCTACCCGGACCCAGGGGCCATGGTCAATGTGATTGCATCCAACCTAGAGGGAGAAGCATCCAAATGGCTGAACTATTTATATGATGAGCAAGCCCCCGAAATGGAAGACCCCTAACTCTTCCTCCTAGGGCTGAGAGAAAGATTTGAGGACCCATCTATTGGTCTTAAAGCAGGAGAACAGATCCACAAAATAAAACAAGCTGGCAGGCCTGCCCTGGAGTACGTGTGGGAATTTTGCAAGATAGCAGGCCGAATAGAGGGGTGGCCTGAACAATCCCTGATCCAACACTTCATTGAGGGATTAGATGATCACCTCTCTCTGGCATGCAGCTGATCAGCTGCATGAATGGTACCAGTCAGCAGTGAAGCTAGATGTTTAGCTCGCCCACTGTAAGAAGCCTTGCCCACCTGAATCCGACCAGCCGCCAGAGCAACCCGGACAGCAATCACCCTCATGAAAACTTCCAACTACTGCGATGGCGGAGAGACCCAGACCACCTGCAGACCCATCAAATAAGTGTTTTTGGTGTGGACAAGAGGGACATAGAGCGGCAACCTGTCCAGTCCCCTACCCCCGACTGCAGAGCAGACCGGAACCAGCAATGAGAAAGAAACTTGCTCAGCAGCTAACGAGAGAAAAATCCAACCGGCTCACGCAGGAACCTGTTGCCCAGATGATACCCCCCACGCAGGAGAACGCTGAGACTCCAGGTGGACCCGCCCCTGCTCTACCCTCCTTTGACAGCAACGATGAAGGAGAGAACAACCCGATGGTGAGTCAACAAATCCCGCCTTTTTCACTGGCCGCCAAACTTATAATCCCTAAGTCTGGGGCATAAATGGATTTAAACATGCTAATTGATTCTGGATGCACCCGCTGCATTATTAGTCTGCCATTTGCCATGAAAATAGGCATGCAGGCAAAACAGCTTTCCAAACCTGTGAGGTTTGAGCAAACCAATGGTTCCCTGATGGGAGGGACTCTTGTCACACAATTAACCGAGCCCTTACACCTAGAAATAGGTGCACACTGGGAGTTTATTCGCTTCCTAGTGGCTAGCCTGGTTAGACAAATGGAAGCCATTTATCTGGTGGGAGAAAGGAATGAGAACTGTGAGACTACCTATAAGGCCTAATCCCCCCATTGATTCAACAGATGTTGCAGGGCATCTTAGGCCACCCAATGAGTGAGCATACATGTCCGCCTCACCGCCGCCAGGTGAACCAGTCATCCCCAATGAATACCGGGACCTGGCGGAGGCATTTAGTGAAAAAGAATGTGATGCCCTACCCCCTCACAGACCCAATTGACTGCTCCATTGAACTGGTGCCAGGAGCCAAACTCCCATGACCGAGAATGTATGCTATGTCCCCCCCTTGAAATGGAGGAGATGTAGCGATACGTGAACAAAAACCTAGTGAGGGGGTTCATCGAATGGGCCAAATCTACTGTGGGAGCCCGTGTATTGTTCAAAGAGAAAAAAGATGGGTCTCTTCGTCTCTGCGTAGACTATAAGGGTCTCAACACTGTGAGTGTGGAAAATAAATACCCCCTCCCCCTCCTAAAGGACTTATTAACCCATCTGGCTAAGGGAAGTGTCTTCACTAAATTAGACCTGAGAGAGGCATATTACCGGGTGAGAATAAAGGAGGGAGACGAGTGGAAAACTGCCTTCAACTGCTCCATGGGGAGCTATCAATTCAAGGTCATGCCATTTGGACTACAGGGGGCCCCAGCTGTATTTGTGCAGTTGATTAATGAGGCCCTACATGATCACTTGTACAAAGGGGTTTTGGTATATCTTGATGACATCTTGATATATAGCACGAATATGACTGATTACATAAAGCTGGTGAGAGAAGTGTTAAAGAAACTATTGAATGCCAAGCTGTATGTCAAATTGTCGAAATGTGAATTTCACCAGGCCCGATTAGACTATCTTGGCTACAGAATTTCCAATGAGGGTATTGAAATGGACCCAGCCAAGGTGAAAGCTATAATCGAATGGCAGCCCCCAAAGACTCGCAAACAGCTCCAGAGCTTTCTGGATTTTGTCAGCTTTTATTATCAATTCATCCCGTCTTTTGCTGAGATTGCCCTACCCCTTACAGAATTACTCAAAACAGGCAAAGGAGGAGAGAAGCCACGACCAGGCCAACCACTAGCATGGACTATTTGCTGCTGAACCGGTCCTAAAGCACCCCTGCCCAGGGGAGCCCTTTGTGATTCAAGCCGATGCCAGCAATGTGGCAGTTGGAGCTGTGTTACTGCAAAAGAACAAAAGTGGGGTCCTGCAACCCTGTGCCTACACCTCTAAGAAATTTACTGAAAGTGAGCGGAGATGGGCAATCTGGGAGAAAGGCTTTCACGATTAGGTGGGTGCTATTAAACTGGCGACACTATCTAGAAGGGAGCAAGGTGCCATTTGAAGCATGGACAGATCACAAAAATCTAGAAGCACTGAAAACTCCCGGCAAATTGTCCCCAAAGCAAGTGCGGTGGGCACAGTACTTTAACCGCTTCAACTTCACTCTAAAGTACATACCAGGAGGAAAGAACTTCCTAGCTGATGTGCTATCCCGGTTACTCCAATACAAAAATGAACGGGAGGAGGTTAACGAGGCAATTATCCCCAATCCACAAACTACTGCTCAACTTACGCCTCGCAAGGTCCCCAATCCTGATGACCCTGGGTAAAGAAAATAAAATGAGAGCTCCTCACCGATCAATGGTTTAAAGATAATCAAATCTCCCTAACGTGCAGGGATAGCTTGGCTTACAAAAGGGGGAAACTATATTTGCCAGAAGCCCTCCGTCTTAATGCTCTCAAACACAGCCATGATGTAAAACAGGCTGGACACTTTGGATATTTGAAAACCCTACATCTCACCCGCCGGCAATTTTGGTGGCCGGGGCTGAAAAGGGACGTGGAAAACTATGTAAAAAGTTGTACTGTATGTGCCACAATGAAAAGAACCCCAGGGAAAACCCCTGGGTTACTGCAACCTGTGTCAGATCCTTCCCAACCGTGGGAAGAAATAGCTATGGACTTTATAGTAGACCTACCTGAAAGTAGAGGAAATACTGTCATCTGGACGGTAATAGACCTGTTCTCAAAGCAAGCTCATTTCATCGCCTGCAAAGAACTCCCATCTGCCCAACGACTGACCAAATTGTTCCTGAAACATATCTACTGGCTAAATGGCGCCCCAAGCGAATAATTTCGGACAGGGGGATGCAGTTCACAACAAAGTTTTGGAGAAGTTTCCTTACATTAATTGGATCATCTCAAGGTTTATCATCTGCTTTTCATCCGGCCACCAATGGGGCTGCAGAAGCCGCCAACAAAATGGTGGAGCAATATCTTAGATGCTACGTTTCTTACCAGCAGACTAACTGGACTGACCTCCTCCCTTTTGCAGAGGTGGCGTACAATAATTCTGTGCACAGCAGCACCGGCTACACGCCTTTCAGAGTGGCCACAGGAAAAGAGTTCAGCCCAATACCTGAATACCCCTAGATGCCCTCTGCTTCCCAGACACTTAACCAATGGTGAGGGGATGGGAAGAAGTTTGGAGAAATACAAAAACTGCCTTTAAAAAGACCTTTGAAACCTATAAAAAGCAGGCTGATAGAAAGAGGGCTCCCCAAAGAACATTCCAAGTTGGGGAAAAGGTTTATTTGTCAACTAACTATTTACGCCTCAAATTGCCCAGCAAGAAATTGGGACCAAAATTCTTGGGGCCTTTCCCCATAGTAAGAATCATCAATCCGGTCACCATGGAACTAAAACTCCCTAGACTTTTAGGGAGAATTCACCCACTCTTCCATTGCAGCTTGTTGAAACCTTATCGGGGCTCCACTTTAAGACCTCCCCCAAAGAAGGCACCTGGGCCCCTCGTAGTTGTGGGATAGACCCACTATGAAGTGAAACGTATTCTTGACTCTAGAATTTTCAAAGGTAAATTGCAGTACCTAGTACAATGGAAGGGATACCTGTTGTCTGAAGCCACCTGGGTGAAATCCAGTGAGGTGAAAGCTGACAGGCTTGTCAAAAGTTTCATGGGAAATACCCCAACAAACTGAAAACTAGTCATTAACATATGCTTTTGTTTACATTGCAGGATCTGTCCTTTTTGTAAGGAGAGCCGGATGTCAACGCTGCTAATATTGAATATTCTTGCTTTGACAAATTATGCTGAACTGTCTGGCACATTTAGAGTTAATTTAGAGAGGAAAGAGGGAGGAGGGAAAAGCCCACGAAAGAGGATGGAAGAGAACCTTTGCCCTTCAAACTACTTGGAGAATATAAATCATGACAGCAGAATAAGGGAGGGGGAAGCTAGCAAAATAACTGCTCCGTGGGTGGAAATTTCAGATCTTAGCATTCCTTTCATCATGCCTGTAAATAAAAAGACTTTTTTAGGATAAAATGCCTGGAAGTTCTTTGAAGTGTTTCATTAGTCGGAACCATGACAACTAGTTCATTGGACATTTGAAATAGTAAAATCTTGGGAAGTGCCTTGCGAGGTGATAAGCAGTTTTGTACAGAACATTTTAGATATTTCTTGTTGATTATAGTAATTTATGTGATTGAAATATCTCTGACTATGCAGAAGAGCAACTTTTCATGCTGAATAAACCAACACATTTCATTTTCAAGCAGAAAAGATTGTATAAAATATGCAAATTGCAACATTTGAAATTAAAATATATAAACAGGTATTTTGACATTCTATTCCTGAGCCTGCAGTTCATTAAGAACAATTCCTTTTCCAGGTATATTGCTATTTATCCATACACTCCTAGAAAAGAAGATGAACTGGAATTGAGAAAAGGTGAAATGTTTTTGGTGTTTGAGCGTTGTCAGGATGGCTGGTTTAAAGGAACTTCCATGCATACCAGCAAAATTGGTGTATTCCCTGGAAATTATGTGGCACCAGTTACAAGGTATGATGTTCAATAAGTTATTCTTTAACAAATTTCAGAAATTACATGTTTTGAAAAGTTATATATTATTTTTAATAGACCAATGACAAGTGCCTCCCAAGCAAAAATACCTGTATCTACTGCTGGCCAGACAGGGCGAGTAATGACCATGGTCAATGCTTCCACTGCTGGAGGAACAGTGCAAAAACTTCAGGGAAATGGTGTGTCAGTGACTTCTGATACAATACCGACAGCTGTAGTCTCTGCTGCACACATACAAAAGAGTCCACAATCCAAGATCATCATGCATATGTCCAGTCAAATGACGATGAATCAAGCTCGCAATGCAGTTAGAACAGGTAAAATAGTTTGTTTCTTGACATAGACAATATGCATATGAAGAATGCCTTGCATCTTGTTAAATCTTAAAATTTATATAGGTAGGAGGGGCAGCAAATATAGTGTATAGGTAGTCCTCGACTTACAACAGTTCATTTAGTAACCGTTTGAAGTTATAATCACACTAAAAAGTGACTTATGACCATTTTTTCACACTTATGACCGTTGTAGCATCTCCATGGTCATGTGATTTACATTCAGATATTTGACAAATGACTCACATTTATGACAGTTGCAGTGCCATATAATCCTTTTTTGTGAATTTCTGACAAGCAAAGTCAATGGGGAAATCAGATTCACTTACTGTGTTTCCCCAAAAATAAGACCCAACTGGAAATAAGCCCTAACTTGATGTTTCAGGACACTCGTAATATAAGCCCTACCCCCAAAATAAGCCCCAGTTAAAATCATCAGCCAGACGGATGCATTTAGTACCGTATTTCCCCGAAAATAAGACCTAACTGGAAAGTAAACCCTAATCCGTCTTTTGGAGCAAAAATTAATATAAGACCCGGTCTTATTTTTGGGAAAACACAGGTAACAACCATGTTACTAATTTAACAACTGCAGTGATTCACTTAACAAATGTGGCAAGAAAAGTTGCAAAATGGGGCAAAACCTACTTAACAAATTTCTCACTTAACAATATGAATTTTAGACTCAATTGTGTCGAGAAATACCTGTATCTAGTATTTGTGAGATAATGTACAGATTCACTTGGTGATCTTGGCTCGATTATATTTTAAGGGTAATACTTTTTTTTCCAAATATATTGTATGTTGTCTTAGAAGAGTGGAATATAAATATATGATTAATATAATGTAGTAGGCTTTTAGGTGATCTGTGGTATACATGTCACAATCTGAAAATATATTCTTTTTAATTATCTGAACTATTTCCCCTTGTCATTGCAGTTGCAATTCATAGCCAAGAAAGACCAACAGCTACTGTAACACCAATTCAGACTCAAAATTCAGCATGCCTTATTCCTGCTGCTGTAATTATTCCACACCATTCTGTTACCTCCCAACAGCTACAACCTCAATTTTCAAATGCTGCTGCTTATATCACAGCTGTAAATATCAACCGAGCAAATGTCCCATTGGCTTGCACAACTTCTTCATTAAACTCTCCTAGCACTTTTGTACCAGTAGATGGAGATTCAAGTGGGAAAATTGTAACTATTCATACGGGAGCTCCAGCTTCCCCAGAGAATACATTGACTGCTGGAGGTACTCCTACTATGAGTAAAACAGAGAGAGATGGAAAGGTAGGCATAATATTTTTGCTCTTTATGATCTCTGAGTTGACCTTGAAACCCCAAACAAGTTTAAATTTAGTTAATGTGTGAATGGAAACTATGAGAAATTACCTCATGGTAATACTTCCATATTTTTACCAAAAATGTCATGGACATCTACGAAATCATTAGGAGTCAAGCTCAATGCATGTACTGTTTATGTCCTCTGCAGAATCCTTCAATCTTCTCACAGGAGAGTTCTCTGTTAATTACTTCTCTATTAATCTTAGATAGAAAAAGTAATTGCTATTATTTTCAACTATTTTTGATTAGGAGTAATATTACCATTTGAAACCATGTCTTTGGTATCACATAGTGGCAGATTCAACATTTATTATTACTAAACCTACGGTATATAATAATCAGATGTCTGTTCCCTAATCAGTTGTAATTTCTAAATTTGATAAAATATAATATGTTAAATTTTGTAATAATCAAAGAAACATATAGATTACAGTGGCTTGTTTTAATATTCACATTTTATTTTCAAAGTATTGCAGATTGATCATGATTGGAATATATATTTCAGGGTTTTGTGGTTGACCACAAGTTGTAAACAAAGAAGATATTGCATGCTTTAATATTTTTCTCCATTTCTGTATGCAATATATGTCTTAACAGATAGCATTTTTGTTCCATAAAGCAATGATGCCACTAACTTTGTCATGTGTTTTAAACATTATAGAACAGACTTGTCAAACTCGTGACGTCACATGACGTCGTGCAACGTATCGGGCTGGTTTTGCCATTGCCGGCAATGGGGTGGGCATGGCTTCCGGATGACGCATCCGGCCTGCGGGCCAGCAGTTTGACACCTCTGTTATAGGAGATCTTCTGTATGTATGATAAGTGCATTAGCAATGTTTTTTCAATAATAAAGTGATACTCAAATATAAAATCTGTTAAAGAGAAAGTGAGAAAAGTCCAAGATAATGTTTTTAATAATTTCACTGAAATTTAAAAATAGAAAGAAAAACTAATACAAACTAAGAAAAATACCAAAAAAAGAAAATAATATAGAGAGAAAAATATGTAAAAGGAAAAATATATAAATAAATGACTTCCCTCTTCATCAAAAAATGTACAAACAATTTTATTAACTTGTTACTTTCTCTAACATTTCAATCTAAGAAAATTTCATTATATATCTCATCTTATATCTATTAGCAAATAATAAAGCCTCATCATTCAATCTTAATCAGCAAAAAGCAATTAAGAGCTATCAAAAATAACTGTATATATTTTAATCTTAAACAAGTGAATCAAGTTCATATTCTTTTTATTTACTTTACAAGTAACATCATTTTGTCTAAAAATACAAAAAAATCTCATGTCTTAAATCTTTAAAGCTTCATCATTCAATCAGAAAAGATTCCATGAAAAGCTACCAGAAACAATAACATTGGAATTTAATCTTATGAAATAAGATACCACAAATTAATTTCTTTCTTTTTTTTATTAAAATTTTTATAAACATTTTACAATAAAATCCCTCCCCACCTCTCTCCCTCCCCCCCTCCCATTAGCCCTCCCCCCTTCCCAGAGCTGAGTACAGAGCTAAAAACAACAAAAAAGAACATAAAAAATTAAATAAAGATCAATCAATTATACATAAATCCTAAAAAAATTTAAAACCCCTTTAACTCCATTACAATAAAATCAACAAATCTAACCATAACAACTTTATACAATAAGTTATTCAAAAGCTAAATAATACTTTCTAATCCCATATTTGTTCTGATCAGCCTGAGCCCTCTCTTCCTCTCTGCCTACTCTTCCGAGGCCTAATGGACCCAGGACTGCCTCATCTTCATTCTCAGGTCGTTTCCCCCCGCCTCCCGAGCCATAGAGACTGCACCATTCCCCTGCACCACCCCTGCTCTATCTCCTCCTCTTCCTTCTCAGACTTGGGCTCTGATGGGGCCATGATAATAGGGCTTTAAAGGTGATAACCAACAACTTGAATTGCACCCAGGAACATACTGGCCACCAATGAAACAGTGATGTTACATGTGTCGAATATCCAACACTTTTTATTACCCATGCAGACACATTCTGCACAAGTTGAAACTTCCAAATTTTCTTCAAGAGCAGCCCCATGCAGAGCAAATTGAAGTAGTCCAGATGAAAGGTCACAGGGCCATGTGTAAGGGAATTTAGGTCCCCTTAGAAGCCAAGAGATAAATTCTTGATCCTGTCAGCCAAGAATTTGCTATGCTATGTGATACGTTGTATATATAGGAACCATTCTTGCTTAAATTTGATTAAAATTATGATGTGAATATATACTGTCAATTCTGACATTGCTACATATTCCCCGAATTTAAGCTACCATATCTTGGTGGCTTTTTTTCATTTTTAATCTATATTATGGATTTTATTTTTTCCATTAACATTTATAATAATAATAGAGTTGGAAGGGATCTTGGAGGTCTTCTAGCCAACCCCCTATTCAGGCAGAAAACCCTACACCATTTCAGACAAATAGCTGTCCAGTCTCTTCTTAAAACCCTCCAGTGTTGGAGCATTCACAACTTCTGGAGGCAGGTTGTTCCACTGATTAATTGTTCTAACTGTCAGGAAATTTCTCCTCAGTTTTAGGTTGCTTCTCTCTTTGATTAGTTTCCATCCATTGCTTCTTGTCCCGCCTTCAGGTGCTTTGGAGAATAGCTTGACTCCCTCTTCTTTGTGGCAACCCCTGAGATATTGGAACACTGCTATAATGTCATGCCTAGCTTTCTCTTCGTTAAACTAGACATACTCAATTCCAGCAACCGTCCTTTATATGTTTTAGCCTCCAGTCCCCTAATCATCTTTGTTGTTCTTCTCTGCACTCTTTCTAGAGTTTCAACATCTTTTTTACATCGTGGTGACCAAAACTGGATGCAGTATTCCAAGTGGGGCCTTACCAAGGCGTTATAAAGTGGTATTAATACTTCACGTGATCTTGATTCTATCCCTCTGTTAATGCAGCCTAGTGCTGTGTTGGCTTTTTTGGCAGCTGCAGCACACTTCTGGCTTATTTTTAAGTGATTGTCCACTAGGACTCTGAGATTCTTCTCATAGTTACTACTACTGAGCAAAGTACCACTTATACTGTACTTGTGCATTTGGTTTTTCTTGCCTAAATGTAGAACCTTACTTTTTTCACCATTGAATTTTATTTTGTTAGACAGCGCCCAATGTTCAAGTCTGTCAAGATCCTTCTGTATCTTAAGCCTATCTTCTGTAATGTTGGCTATTCTTGCCAGCTTAGTGTCATCTGCAAATTTGATGAGTTCCCCATCTATTCCCTCATCCAAATCCTTGATGAATATGTTGAAGAGCATTGGGCCTAGAACAGATCCCTGGGGCACCCCACTACACACTTCCCTCCATGTAGATGCAGTTCCATTGAGGACCACACACGCTGAGTATAGCCGATTAGCCAGCTACGAATCCATCTGGTGGTGATGCTGTCTAACATTTTTCTATCTTATCAAGCAGTAGGTTATTGTTTACTTTATCAAATGCCTTACTGAAGTCCAAGTAAATGATATCCATAGCATTCCTCTGGTCCACTAATTTTGTCACCTTGTCAAAGAATGCAATAAGATTTGTCTGGCATGATCTGTTTTTGATAAACCAATGTTGGCTTTTGGTTATGACTTTTTTGCCCCTAGGTGTTCATTGATTTGTTGCTTGATTATCTTTTCCAGAATCTTCCCAGGTATTTAGGTCGGGCTGATAGGTCTGTAGTTTCCTGGATCCATTTTTTCCCCTTTTTTGAAGATAGGTACTACATCAGCTCTTTTCCATTCCTCTGGTAGTTCCCCGGTGCTCCAGGATCTTTGAAAGATATAGTTCAGTGGTTCTGAGATCACGTCTGCCAGTTCCTTCAGAACCTTGGGGTATAATCCATCTGGTCCTGGTGATTTGGACTCGTCTAAGGTGGACAGGTGCTCACTTACCATTTTCTTGCCTATTTTAACTTGTGCTTCTAATCTGTTTTTTACAGTACTGTTTTTGATAGGTTGGACTGTTTTTTCCCTTTGTATAAAGACGGATGCAAAAAAACAAGTTAAGTACAGGTAGTCCTCGAATTACAAGTGTAATGGAGCCTGCCCATTCCATTCGTAACTCGAAAACTCTTGGGAGTGAATCTCGTACCTCGAACAAGATCACTCATTGCTCATTAAGATGCACACAGCTCGTTAAGTGCACATGAGGTATCTTAGGGTGGGGAAGGCCATGGGGAGGCCTAGTGATGGAACAGGTCAACAAGGCCTCCCTGACTCACTAAGATACCTCATGCTTCCCTCTCCCTTCCTCCTGCACCAGACTCACTTACCTTGCAAAATCTGTCTTCTCTCTGCCGTGGTTTGTTTCCTTTTGGGGGAGAGGAGAGTAGGCTTGGAAATGCTTTTTGCGCCAACAATGGAAACTCCTGGATGCCGTAATGTCATGCGAGTTCAAACACAAATTCTCTCTAAAAGAGATCATGGCCCTGGAAGCTTCCATTCTGGGAGGGGGAAGTGTTTGCTTCATTTGCATGCCTATAGGGCGAAGCATGGAATCGGAGACAACCAGGCGCAGGAACCAATGCCATCCATGGCCCATGTGCACTGCTCGCTTGCTTGAGCCTTAGTTTGAGGGCAGCCCTATAGGAACGCAAACACATTTATTTGAAGGAGAGCTGAGAGAGATTGGAAGTTCCGTGTGATTGCCAATGGAGCGCTTCAGAAACTGAGCATGATTTGCTGCGTTTTGAAGCATTGTGTAACTGCACGGAAAGGAACGCTCCATTTTTGAAGCACTCCATTGGCAATCACCCGGAACTTGCAGCTCTCAGTTCTCCTTTGGATAAAAGTATTTGAGCAGCAGAGGCTTTATTTTCTCTGCTCCATCTGAATGGAAAGATGCGAAGGCACAGAATGGGATTGCTCTCAATAAGGCTGGTGCACACGAGCGAGCAGCGCACCCGTATCTTCTTGAGAGCAATCCTGCTCTGCACCTCCGCTTTCTTCATTTCAGACAGCAGAGAAACTCAAGCAGCTACTGCCGCTTGAATGGGGAGGACGACAAGGAGAAGAGTTTTCAGGATTTGTACCACCGGCCGGTCAGGCAAAGAGTAGGTCAGGCTGGCTGGCTGGCTGGTTGGGGAGGGGAGATTGTGGCCACTCAGGTGGCTGTTTTCATGCCACCTCCAGGAGCTTGAACACAGGTGCAAAGGGACTCGCCCTGAGATGCCTCCCCCCTCAGTTGAAGGCTTCGTTCCTGGCCTCAAACTAAGTCTGGTGCATACTCGTGAGCAGCACACCCGGGCCACAGATGGCGTTAGTTCTTGTGCTCGGCCAACTCTGATTCCATGCTTTGCCCGATAGGCATGCAAACGAAGCAAACACTTCCCCCCCATGGAAACTTCCAGGGGCCATGATCTCTTTTGCAGAGAATTTGTGTTTGAACTTGCGCAATATTAGAGCACCCAGGAGCTTCCATTGTCAGCGCAAAAAGCATTTCCAAGACGACTCTCCTCTCCCTTAAAGAGAAAGAAACCGCAGCAGAGAAGATTTTGCAAGGTAAATGAGCGATTCAGCATGAAGGGAGGGGGAAGCAGTTGTGGGGAGCGGAGGGAATAGGGTGAATACTGCAGAGCCTCTGCGGTTGTTCATAAGGGTGAATGACTGCCGTGGTGCTGCAATATTTGGAATTTTGGGACTTGCTCATAAACACTAGGGGGCACTGATCGCGTAACTTCAAACGAGCATTATGTAAACGTTCATATCTCTGGGATTACCTGTAGTTCTGCTTTCTCTGTGCTGCTTATCACCTTCTTGCAACTTTCTCCCACTATTGGACCAATCATTTCCTTAACATTTTTCTTGTTTTTTACATTTTAAAGTATTCTACAGTATTAATACATTTAGTATTAACGTATGTGTTTCAACTTAAGCTATCTGTATTTAAGTAAAAATTATCCCCTTAGAAATAATGAATTATAAAAGTCTTCAATAAATATAACATATTTTGTGGAAATTATAACCTCATTTCCCTTGCAGGATAATCCTAAGGATTGTAGGTGTGTAAATTATATGAAGTTTATAGTACAGTGAGATTAATTTCTTGAAAAGATTTTTTTACAAATGGTTCCATTGAATCACACCACCACTTTGTTGTCCCGATATATGTGAGGCACTTTAAATTTATGGTATTTTATTTATTTATTAAATTTATATGCTGCCAATCTTACTATTGAAGCTACCTTCAGTGGCTTTAAATACAATGTTGATTAGTTGTTTGTCAAATGTAAAATTCCACATTCATATTTCCTTTTTTTTTTTTTTGAAAAAAAATATCTCTTTTTTAGAAAGAAAAAAAGGGGTTACTGAAGTTACTTTCAGGAGCATCTACTAAGCGTAAACTTAGAGCATCACCACCATCATCCCCAACTCTCGAAGTTGAGCTGGCAACTACAGAACTCTCCCTTCAGGGTGCTATAGGGCCAGAAATTTCATCAACTTCTAGTCAGGGAAGAGCAGACCCTTGCCCCATGGACAGTGAATCACCTACAATTGTGCAGGAGAGTACTCACTGCAAAACAAGTTCTTTGGATTCTAATATCCCTATAGTTCCCCCTCCAAGACAACCATGCTCATCATTGGCTCCAGTGTCAAATGAATCCAGATGTGTAATCTATGAACGGTAAGTCATTTTCCTGGATAAAAATGTGTTCTTTCTTACATTTCATCAAGAAATGCTAATTTTTTAAAATGATGAAAGAAATTTTCTATTAGAATTCTCTTTAAATTGATTTCTGTTTGAAATGTTCATTTATTTCTAATATATTATATAAAACAGGCAGTTATTTCTAATATATTGCTTGTTGGGCGGTGATCAGAAGGCCATACATAATTGATTCTTGGATCACATCCAATAACTTTTTCATGTCAGGTTAACTCCTAAAGCAGATTCCTAAACTGTTGAGGTGGAAGAATGATGTAGCCCAGACATGTCAAACTCAAGGCCCACAGGCTGGATCCGGCCTGCGAGAGGCCCAGATCTGGCCTGCGGGGCCATCTGGAGACAGCGAGGGACCGGCTCCCGCTGCCCTGGCCCGGGCCCATCTTAGCCTGGCTGGGCGCCCCCCCAGGTGCATACACAGGAGGTAGCGAGCGTGCGAGGGTTGGCAGTGCCTGGCAGCAGCCGCAGCCCACAGGCCCCTCGGCCATCCATTGGTTAGTGTACCCCAGGATCCCACAGCCCCTGCAGCGCAGGTGGGTCTAAGTGCCATGGCCATCAGGCCAGCCCTCCAAATGGCAGGTGGAGGCAGAGGTGCAGAAAGAAGGTATGTGATCCTCCATGCCGGATGTGCTGGGAGGCCAAGTGGCCACCCGCCCTTCCCAGCTGTGGCAGGCATGGGCAAGCAAAGATGTACGGTGGGGCCGCAGCAAGGCAGCCCAGCCAGTTGACATCACCTCCATGCCCACTTGGCTCTCGCTATCCAATTTCATCCGCCAGGTCTGCCGCACACGCAGGACGAGCCTCCTGCCCACTGCCACACCGACGGTCCCAGCAAATGGGAAGAGCAAGGATCCCCCCATCCCCAGAAGCAAGCTGGGACTCCCCTCTCCACTCTTCCCAAGCCCAGTCCTGGAGGTTTCCCATATGCTGCCAGGTTCCTCCTGGGAAGCAGTGCCAGCCGGGTCACAGGATGTCAGTGCCCTGGGAGATCAAAGGCTGGGCCAGGCACCTGCCAACGTCCAGGGCCTCGAGAAGCCCATGCCACCATCTGGGGACCTCCATGCAGCCCGAGAGGGAAGGCAAGGCTCCTCTGGTGGACCAAGCCCTGGCATCTGCCCCAGTCTTGTCCCCCTCTGCCAGAGACCCTTGGATCCCCCCACAGCCCCACACAGCCCCCACAGGTAACCCCGATGTGAGTGATGTCGAGCTGACCATGCCTGATCATGCCCATCCAGTCATCCACGCCCACCCTGCCCCTGAGGGCAACCACAATGCTGATGGGGCCCTCAATGAAATCGAGTTTGACACCCCTGATGTAGCCAATCAAATAATCCTGAACTTTACATTATTTTGATTTTCTAAAATCAAACTTGAATATATTGTTGTCTTTCAATTTCTAATTCCAAGGTAGTATAAGTACACACATATACACATACACAGAGAGATAGAGATGGAAGGAGAGAGGGAGGGAGGGAGAGAGAGAGATAGTTATAAAGTAACATATTTTTCCTGCTGTTAATTTTTGATCAGGTGAAATCAGATCCATGTCAAAGTTACTGGGTAAGTATGTGTATAGGATTGTATAACTAAATTTGCTATTCCTAGTGATAATGTTACACTAATTTTATTATACTGAGTTTTAACAGATTTTGAAATTAGAAAGTGAAGTGAAAATGGAGATATTTCCATGCTATGTACATGAATAAAATAAAGTAAATATTTTTTTTTTAAATGAACGCTCCTGATGAACCAGAATATGTGTTTACAGTTGAGAAAAATGGTCCCCCTTTCAATCTGGAAAAGTTGCCTCTTATTCAGTTTCCCTAGAAATTACATATATAATCCAATTGTTTTAGAGAAATAGTAATATAATTAAATTGGTAATATTTCAGCCAGAAAGCATATGAGAAGATTATGTCTGTCTATTTTAACAGTTTGCTTTATTGTAAGTTTATGTGCTTACAGTTAAGATATACTGCAACATCAGTTTAAATATGTGAAGTTTATTTGCATATGTAGTTATAGTGATGGGAACTTACCAATTTTTTAAGCTCATTCAACAATGGTTTTTTGCAGTGTTTTAGATATATGTGTACAGGTAGTCCTCAAGGAATGACAGGCCAAAACTACATGTGACTCTGTTTGAAAGTTCTGACAGCTGCAATAACCCTGTAGTCATGCGCTCTTATGAATGAAATGACAGATGCTTTTAATGCTTTCTGCACCAATGAGCTGGCCATCGGGAGGCTGCAAAGCTCTTCTGCAAAAGCTGGCCCCTGCATAAAAGGTGGGAGCTTCAGAACAAGTGTCTTAAACTTTTCTCTTGCAAGGCATCCAAGGGGCATCAAGGGCGTGGGGAAGCTCTTGAGGCCTGAAGTAGGTGGACTTGTGCCTGGACTAGGCCTCCCAGGATCTCCCTGTCAAGACTGATTTGCACATTCACCTATATTCCACTTCGCTTGCAGCTTGACAAAGAAAAGGGAGGAGGGGATATGGAATACAATGGTGGGAGTAATTGTATCTGAGCATCCACTGTTCGTGAGAGTGCTCCAACCCAAAGACACATCGAGCAGGTGGACTAGTGTGGCTCGCTGGTTCCCATAACAAAACGAACAGAAGTGATTGGTGACCGTAATGGACTGTGGGTGGCCCATGGGGAATGGGGGGGGGATTAACTATGCTAGCTTTTGCGTGGGAAACCCAGAGCTGGTTTCGCTTCATTTGTGCCAATATGGTTTATTCAGTAAAGTTTATACTCTTCGTGAAATAATGTTCCAGGAGTTTCTTTTTTTGGATCTGCCAATTGGACAGTTGACACTGTCTCATCCCTGAGCTCCAGGGATGACTGGTTGTTACTTGAGGCAATTCATTTAATGTCCTGACTTCAACCCTAATGGACAAATTCAATTATGGTCATATCTCAAGGATTACTGTGGTCTTCATTTAGCAACTGTTTCCATTATAACAATGATGAAAAACTCACTTTATAATCAATCTTCACATTTACAACCTTCGCTAGTCCTTAAAACAATGAAAAGCTGAAGTAAGATCATAAACACAGTTGTGATTTCACTTAGTGGCCAGTTCATTTAATGAATGACCCAGTTGCCAGTCCCAATTGTGGTTGCTAAATGAAGACAACTTGTATACATACATACATGCATACATACCTACATACATACATACATGTGCTACTGGGAAGACTCAGTAAATCAATTCCTCTACACTACAGTAAACCCTCAACTAAATTGAGTTCTGGTGATGTCCTTCTTTGGAACAGCTTTCCTTAAGGTACTTGGACCAGCACTCTCTTTATTACATTTCAAAAAAAGGCATTATTTTTGTTTTTAATCTTATAGCAATACTATAAACTGTTCATGGTCTCTGGAAATGGAAGACCATGCAAATTGTGGCATTGCTAGAAAGACAGGTAGGAGAAGAAAAAGGCTCTCCATTAAAGCAAAATTTACAGACATGTAAAATAGAAATGGGATTTCATCACATTATATATAAAAAGTAAATGGAAATGGGATTTTTCCTACGCATTTTATGTATATGTATAATTGCAAATGGCATTTTACAAATGCATAGAACTATTCAGTGTACATTATTGCTCTAAGGTCAGCTAAATCAAAGGTTTAAAGATGTTTTAAATTAAGGGTTTCCTGTATTCTGTTTATTTCATGTAATCCCCCCAAGGCAAATTTACAGTATGTTTAGTATACAATATGGATGAAATGAAAACAATTTTACTTTACTAAAAGTAAAGTTTACTTTACTAAACAGATCATGCCAAACAAATCTCATTTTGTTCTTTGACAAAGTGATGAAATTAGTGGACCAGCGAAATGCTGTGGACATATACTTGGATTTCAGTAAGGCATTTGACTACAACCTATTTGGTAAGACAGAAAAGTGTGGGCCTTATCTAACAGAATGAAATTCAGTGATCAGCATCACCACCAGATAGATTCATAACTGGCTGACCAACCGCACTCAAAGTCTAGTGACTTTGAACTGCACTAATGGAACTGCATCTACATGGAGGAATGTATGCAGTAGGATAAGTCCAGTACTCTTCAATATCTTCATAAACAATTTAGATGAGAGAATAGAAGGAGAACTCATCAAAACTGCAGACAACACCAAGCCGACAGGAACATTCCAGAAGATAGCGTCAAGATACAGAAGGATCTTGACAGAATGGAATGCTAGGCCCTATCTAACAAAATGAAATTCAGTGGTGAGAAAAATAAGGTTCCACATTTAGGCAAAACTTTATTGAGCACATCATTTTGGCACAGATGAAAGGAAAGCCAGCTCTGGTTATTTCGCACCTAAATTGCTATATTAAAAATATAAAAACCTCCTCTTATTAGTGCAGGTCAAATTATCCTATTATAAGTCAGAATCATTATGAGAGAATGTCTTTAGTTCTCAGTAAACAAATCTTGAAAGTCCTTGGTTCTCATGGACTGGCCTCTTGATATCAGAAGTCTAAATTCCATTCTTCCCTCCCTTTCCCCCAGTCTATAGGCAAGCTAAGAAGCAATAATAGCTAACACAGCATAGGCATTCTTTGGGGCTTGACGCTGTTATTCTGTGAAACTGGATATTGTGGGTTTTTTTTAATGGCTGGCATAAAAGGAAGAATAGTTCCCTTCATTAAAGAAAGAAAGATTGGTTTTACAGCATACTTTCAAGAGCAAAATATCAGGCCTAGCACAGTATTATTTCTTCTATCCCAAATTCATGGTAGAATTTGCAGAAGATTCCTATTGGAATCTCAACTGATATGGAGAAAATTTATTTACAAAATGAAAATGAATAATGAAATTTACAAAATATACAAAATAAAAGAGATACAAAGTACAAGTTGTCTGTTATTAATTCTGAATTTATAGTTCATTTATGATTATAAATAGTTCAAAGAAGCTTTCTGATTCTTTTGCCTTTTTTTCTAAACAGTGAAAGTCTAAATGTTGTTAAAAAATCTTATTCTGCAGATACAGAGTTGTGGTATCCTATCCTCCTCAGAGTGAAGCTGAACTTGAACTTAAAGAAGGAGATATTGTTTTTGTTCATAAAAAACATGAAGATGGCTGGTTCAAAGGCACATTGCAGCGAAATGGAAAAACTGGCCTTTTCCCTGGAAGCTTTGTGGAGAGTATCTAAGAAAACTAATTTGAAATCTTTCAACTCTCATAGCACTATAGAACAAAGAGAGAGATTGCAGCCATGGAAGGCTATAGTATAAACAAATTTATATTTGTTTTTCAGTATCCTACAGCACAATTTTGCCAGCAAAGAAGAGTAAAATAGTTGCTTTTTTATCATTTTGAATTCTTGAGTGTAATGTGTGCCTTGTAATGTCTGATTTATTCTTCAGAGGATTTAAGTGTGTGTGTACATACAAACATACATACATACGTACATACCATAAAAGTTCATTGTTTACAAGGCTGTAACTAATTTATTCATTTTTCTAAACTTGAATTCTGTTTAATAACTAAAGTTTGGTGATTATGATTAACAAGTTATTTATAAAATAAGGAGAAGCTGGATTCTTTTCTTACAAAAAGATATAGTGTCTGATAGATGCCTTTTTCCAACTGTGACAGTGAAGTACGTTTTTTTAAATGGTTAATGTTGGCTATAACAATAGTGATGTGCTATCAGATTGAACCATGCACACTGGGGTAAAATTGTGGATTTGTTTTATTTAGGGTGAGAAACTATCTGTCAATAACAAGTCTTAATGTCACAGATAGAAACATTTCTGATGAAACATTTCTAAAAGGCAATGAAACAGCTGTGCAGCATTGTTAGCATTTTTCAAGCTGAGAATAGAATATATAAAATATACCAGAAATGAGGAATATCAACTTTGACTAGCATCTGTTTGTCTAGTATTTTTGGATATGTGTCGAGATTTCCCTTTGTAGATTTGGCTAGATTTTTAAGCACATAATATACAGAATGTAAATGTGTTAAGATAGATTTAATGCAAAACAACTGGAAGAATGGAAAATAATTGTAATAATTGATAGGATCAAAATTTAAATTCAGGTTGCTTTTAACTGTCTAAATATGCCAAGAAATGTTGGCTTGTTTACCTTTTCAAACTAATTTGCATGGTTGAGAGACAAATTATCTTGTTTGAGCAATAGTGGTGGTAAGTGATATACTTGTGTTTTTAAAGTAAAGGCTGTAAGAACACTGACATTTTTGCAAATTTTGTAACTGTTGCTATTTTCATATATCTTAAGTTGTCAGCGTCTTGCATGCATTATCACATTCATACAGGTGTACAAAATAGCACATAACTGACTATAATGTTTATTATATTGTACTGTTACAATGAACTGGAGGTTCAATAACCAGTTACCTGCAAGTGTGAAAGCCACTGACCAAAAACTAGTGAGTAATTGGATACTACTGTATAAAGAATATTCTCACTGTTCAGCATAATTCCAGCCATGGATATTTTAAAGCACAAGAGTTTTGTGGAGCATATCCTCTACTTAATTTCAGGCCTTGAAGAAGATTCAAACATTCAATTTCCCCTCTTTTATTATTTTTGCAATCTTAGTTTGGAAATAAATTTTCTAAGGAAGGAAAGCTGCCATATAACTTTTTTGTTATCCTCTGCTGAATATCCTGCTCAGAAGCTATTTCCTCCTAAACAATGTACATTGGTAATGTTCACCAGTCTTCCAGGGCATCGAGCCTTGGGATATTTTCTCACATATTCAAGACCTAAAGTATGGGGGGAGGGGAATTATGGTATTCTGATGATTTAAGACTTGTATTACATCTGTCTTTTCTGATAAAATATTTAAAAATTATAATCTTTTAAACCCTAGAATATGTTGAGGTGAACTAATAGACATCTCTTACTCTCCAGTGATCTGCTAATATTTACGGACATTACTTTGCCTTTCCCTCTTCAAGCTAGTTAGTCCTAAGAAAGAGAAGCATATTAGCAAGATTTTAAAAAAATCTTCTTGTGAAGTCTTTTGACTCCTTCCCAAACTGAATTCTGTGCAACAAAAAATGTCAAATCTCATGGATTTAGTTGCTGGGAAGGGAGTGAGTTTATAATAGTTACATTGGACCTTTTAGCGGACTTGGAACTGTAATTTATTCTATATATGATTCTTCAGGAAAATACAATTTGAGAGTATTGCATATTCAAGCTATTATTACTATCAATATTGGCACGGGACGCTATGTACAAGATTGTCTTCATACCATTGCTTGACAGTGACAATCTTGTTACATTTAGCTCACCTAATTTCTGTATAACATTTAGATTACTTTGGCAGATCTCTTCTTTAATTATATGACAGGAAGAAATTCTGTAGGCAGTTACCTTGAAATAGATACCCTACCCTTGGGAAAGATTGACCTGTATATTTCTGCCTATTGTGCAATTGCTCGAGATTAAGAATTCAGTTACCAAAAGAGTGGGTAACCTTAAACTCAATACCTTTTCTTTAATAACAAGGTAGTGCAAGTTTTAAAAGTCTTTGTTTCCCAACAAGAATGAAACTTTGTTAAAGGAAATGCCTGTTGTTTTAAGGTGAAGAATTCAAGTTAGTTGAATCATTAGTTGAATGATTTTCTTGTAAAACATAAATGATTTTTTAAAATTTGTAAATGGAGAGAAAATAATTGGTAGCTGAAGTGGTTTCTTCCAATATCAAATGGTTTCATTATTATTTTAATATATTGAAAACATTCCTTAAATGATACACTGAACAATTCAATTCTGTGGAATTTAAAAAGCTTGGTTTACTTGAATATTCATATGATGTACAAACTATTTGAAATGAACTTTAATAAGGAAATGCTGGCATCAACTTTCATCAGCACCTATTGACACTTATGTGCCAATCTTATTTTCATGCATTTGTAGATTTATATGTGAGAGACTACTACAAAGAATGTTCTCCATATGGTAGCATCCTTGTGTGTGACACAGGTACCTCTATTCAAGATTTTATTATATAATGTCTATTAGAAATATAAATTAATATGGTAGTGTTCTTACAGTATAATACATTTCTAATAACTTTTTAAGAAAATGGATCATCTTTTATTTTAAGGGATTGTTATAGGCGATACAACAATTTTTAAAAATGCAGTTTTCATGTCATGTGACTTTATAAAGTTTGTGGGACTTGGGTTGGTTTTTAGGGTTGCATGTAATTGAGTTTATGAACAAAAAACCTTTACACTAATTTTGGAATACTTTCTTAAAGAAATTCTGTGGAAAATTTTAATGTCTATATTTGAGGTCCAGTGAATGTTACATGTTTTTATCTGTTAAATTTCATTTCTAATAAATATTTTCTTAGCAAAGCACTTAAATGCACTGTGTTGTATTTTGGGAATTGTAGTTATTAGGGGGATGAACAGTACAGGAATATAAAGAACACACAATCTCCACTAAGGTGCAGATCCAGGGTTCTAAAAAGTGGCTTAGTTCCATTTTTTTTATATATTCAGATCCCCAGATCTAGAGAAACTCCATTCTCCTGTACTTTAGCACAGATAAAATTCAAACATCTGTAATTTATTTTTCAGTAGAATACGATGAAATGTGCAGATGATCTAGATCAGGGGTGTCAAACTGCCGGCCCGCGGGCTGGATGCGTCCTGACAAAACCACACCCACCCCATTGTCGGCAATGGGGAAAAAGCTGCAATACATCGCATGATGTCATGTGATGTCGCGAGTTTGACCTGTCTGATCTAGATCCTAGAAATATAGAAAATTGATGGCAGAAAAAGATTCTGCCTCAACTATTTCCCCAAGAAAGCACGCTCAGGAAACAGGCATTGTTTCAAAGAGGATCTTTTACTGAGAGAAAGTGATTGCAGAGTAAAAAGGCGGAATCTGAAATTCCCATGCAAAGCATTAAGCTAAAAATCCCATTTCTTCAGCCCCACCCCAGTGCCTCAGTCCCTCAGATGCAAAGATATTATGAGGCCAAAGAGGTGATAACTGGCCAGCTTCCCAAGCTCCTGTGAAACCAGATGGCCTCAAGGTATTTCCCCCTCCTTAATTCCCATGCAAATACATTGAAGTGAAAGCAGCAGCAAAGGTTAAAATACAGGAATGTCCCCAATCCACACTCATATGTGCTACCCCTTCCTTTCTTATGGCAGCGTTCTGGAAAGACCTGACAGACTCAGTAGTCCATTTAATCTGCCGTTTGAGTTTTCTTCTGCTTGCTTTTGTTTTCTTTTTAATTAATTAATTAACTCAATATTAACCTTTAATTTTTATTTATTTTATTGATATTATATTTATTTATTTTTAAATTCTTGTCAGGTGATAGACATGTATTTATCCCAAGTGTGTTTAAATTCATTTGGCTATGATTGATTCACTATCTCCACTGGAAGTTGGTTCCAAGCTTCCATTACTCTTTCGTGAAATAATACAGGTAGTTCTTGAGTTACGACCATAATAGAGCCTGCCCATTATGGTCGCAAGGTTAAGTGAATCATGTTAAATGAATGAGCCCCCTCCCTGCTCCCCCCAATTCATTTGTTAATTGAATGCATAGGTCGTTAAGTGGGAAAGGCTATTGAGGTCCTAGTGCAGGAACAAGTCCACTTACCTCCGGCCACTCAAGGCCTCCTCTCACCTACTTCTCATGCTTCACTTACAACCCCTTGGGGTTTCTACAGCTCCTAGGGCTATTCTCTGCACTAATTCCCTATTATTGTTCACTTACCTTTCAAAGAACTGCAGAGCTCCAGAAAAGCCTGGGCCATGTAGCAGAAAAGCGGTCATCATCTTTCATCTCTCAGATAGTGGTGTAGCTGTTTTCCTTAGATTTCATGTTTTTACACACTTGTTTTTACACATACTCGTTTTTATACAGAGGTTGAAAACATCTGTAAGAATGTGAGATCTATCACATGCCTGCAAATCTCTTCTGATCCCAGCCTGGCTGGCACCACTAGCACCCTCTGTCCGCGTTTGTTCACCTCCTGTGGTGCCTTGGGTGCTGGAACCTGGGGTGTACTCCCTGGTGGTGGGTGGGCACTCCAACTCCTCTCCCTTGGGGTGACCCCCGCAGCCCACATGCACTTCCCTGCCTACCCAACCTCCTGAGGGGTAGCCAGTACCCCAAGTTCTCCATCTCTCCATCTGTCTCTGCAGTGGCGCAATTGGTGAAGTCTGGGCAGGTTCAACCCTCTGCTGGGTGGCCCTGCCTCACTACCCACCAGATTACCAAACCTGCCCAGACTTTGCCAATTGCACCATCACTGAGACAGATGGAGAAATTGAGAGTTTGGGGCACCAGTCACTCTGCATCCCTTGCTTATTGGGTGCACTTATTGGGGAGAGATTGGGAGTGCAGGGAGGTGCCTGAGGACTGCAGGGGTCACCCTGAGGGAGCTGATTCCCAGAGATGCGGGTAGCCATGGGGGTGCCCACCGCTGCTGCCAGAGAGCATATCCCAAGCTCCAGCAATCAAGGCACCATAGGAGATGAGTGAGGTTGTGCAACATGGAGCTCCCAGACCTAATGGCTGCACTGACCAGGCTTGCTGCAAGGGGCTCAAGCATCCCAAGCAAAGGTGCTGTTGCTCCAGCTCAGCTCTCCCACTGCCCCCCTGACCAACTGCCCAATTGCTTTGTGATCCCAACTCCTCCAGACAAAACCAGCATGAAAAATGACCCAAGTTGATTGCCTACCACCACCGCCTTCACACTACAATCCCCCAAATGGTTTATTTGACCCAACCTCCCAGCAGCGCATTGAGAATGCCCAGGCTGGGACCAGTCAAGGCCTGCAGAGACACAATAGATCTCACTTTTATAGATGATTCTATCCTTTGCACAAAAATGAATGTGTGTAAGAACTCAAGATCTAAGGAAAACAGCTTTGCCAGTATTTGAGAAAAAGAGAACCACTTTTTGCCCTGGGGCCCAATCTGTTCTGGAGCTCTGGAGATCTTTGAAAGATAAGTGAGCAATAGGTGACAGGGTGGAGAGGAGCATGTAGGATGTGGTGAAGTAGCAAAGTAGACCCAATGCCTGTGTAGACCCAGCAAGGTAGGATGGGGGGAAATAAGTAGAGGCATGTTGCAGTGTCTCTGGGGTCAGTCAAAAGAGCAAATGACCACCATGGTTCTGCAACATACATAACTTCCAGATCTAGTTGTAAGTTTTTTTTGTGGGGGGGGTCGTAACTTTGAACCATCATTAAGTGAGCTAACTTGACTTTATTACTTTTGAACCTTTCACATTACTTTTGAACCTTCCTCCTGTTAATGTGGAATAATGAAAAAAATCACTAAAATAATGATGTATCTGCATAATTACTGGAATAATGCTGTGTTAGCAATATGTGACTAATCTAATGTGCATTACACTCGGATACAATGTATGTAGCAAACTCTCCATTGTATACCCGTGAGAAACTAACCTAATGTATCACAATATGTGTATTCCTTTGTTCCTGAGAAAGAGAAAGTATAAAACTGAAGTCTGAACCTGCCCTCGGGGTTCAGAATTGCCTGTTGCTATAGCTTCTGAACCTGCGCAATAAATCTCTCTGCTAAACCCTCTGGAATTTGTAAGAGTCCTTTCGTATTCCACAAGATTTATGGCGACTCTGCCGGGACTTTTAGGAAGAGGCCATTGAACTTCCAGATGAACTGTCCTGGTGGGTAGCCCCTCTCCTAATGACGACTCCTCCAAGCCAGCTCCGTGGCCTTTTGTCTATGGGGAGACCTTGACGGGAAGGGAGGGGAACTCACCTGCCAGCGAAGCACTCCAGTCAAGGATCCACCGAGGGTAGCAGATGGGTCTTTAATCCGCGGAAGGGTCTGGAACGCCTGCAGGCAAGTATTGTAAAAAGGTATACCTGACCCCGTTTGGATTGGAAGAGGGGACTGGTCATCCCCTAGAAGACAAGGCGGTGTCCTTAAATCTTCAATAGGTAGGACTGTGTGGGTGGTTAAACCATCACATTTCCTGAAGAGTGACCGTTGGAACGTCCGGCACTCCAGGTCTGTGGCAGTGTGTTAGGGAGAAATGGGAGGGAACCAGATTAAGAAGGGCATTGGTCAGATGCCGCTTCAGTGTATGTTAGGAAATTTCAAAAAGGGTTTTTCTGGGGATTATGGGGACCCATGACCAAATCCAGCCATGTTAAAAAGATTCTGTGAATCTGAATGGACCACCTTTGGCGTAGGGTGGCCCAAAGAGGGATCGGCGAATCCCGAACTCATGGCACGGGTTCATCAAATTGTGACTGGAAGTGGTCATTGGGACCAAATCCCTATATAGACCAATGGCAGATCAATATTGAAGAAAAGCCTCGATAGTTAGCAAAGCGTCAGATAGAATGTACTAAAATATATTTGGCAAACCAAAAAGCCAAACCTTAGACAAAAGCTAAGATTTTGAGCCAGGAAGAAAGGGAGGAAGTTGTTCTTAGAAGAGAAGAAGGGGGGATATACCAGCAAATTCCACCCCCTCCGGTGGAAAGAAATGAAGTCCACCTTCAACCAGAAGCCGGTGTGAAAAGAAAGATAAAAAAAGATAAAACCGTACAGAAGAAAGATCAGGACTTGTATAGTGATGACAGCAAAACATCAGTTTCTAGTCAAACTAGAAGTAAAACGAGGGTCAAAACAGAAGAAATGATAGCCCCTCTAAGAGAAGGTTTGGTCCCTGGACCAAACAACACCAATATTCCGATGCTCCAGTATGTTCCCTTTACAACCACTGATCTACTCAATTGGCATCAGCAACATGGACCATTTTCAGAAAAACCCCAAAAAGTAATAGACCTATTCTCCACCATTATTCAGACACATAACCCCATGTGGGATGATATGCAACAACTTATTTCTACTTTACTGGATATGGAGGGGAGAGAGAAATATAGATTAGGGAAATTAAAAGTACTTGCCCACTGACACCCCGATGGGGGAGCGAATTATCAGGCAAACAGAAATACTGAAGCAGTAGAAGAAAGACCAGACTGGAATGCTAACGATGGACAACACCAAACTTTGTTGCAGAATTATCGGCTTTTGTGTTTAGAAGCCCTGAGAGAAGCCGCAATTTGTCCAGTTAATTATACTGCAGTAACTAGTATTTGGCAAGATAAAAATGAGTCACCAACCGCTTTCCTCAGCTGACTGATAGAAGCTTATAAAGTAAACACAGGTCTTGATATGGAGGTGGCACAAAATCGTCCACTCCTAATTGAAAGATTTATCACCCAAAGTGCCCCAGACATAAAGAAAAATTTACAACGCACAGAAGGGGCATTAGGGAAAAATATAGCAGAGATCATGGAAATAGCTCAGAAGGTGTTCCGTAACCGTGAAAAG